GCGCAAAGTAGAAAAGAACAGCACTAGGCCAGAAAAGGAAGGAGACAACTCTCGGCCAAACACTTAACCGGTGAGGAGCGTATAATCCGTACAGTACTGCACGGAAAAATTGACCATTTTATTAATTACAATTGCATTGCTCAAATGTGCTGTTATTGGTACCATTTACTACTGAAAATATCAACGAGATGTTTATTTATATTTGAAGACATATTAAAGACGTTAACGCTTGTTTTCGACTCGCACTACTATTCATGATTGAACAGAATTTTTGGCAGGTACTGTATGAAAAAGTATGTTTAATGAACAAGAGTCGAGAGTATAATGAGCTTTTTTCTCCCTAACTACGATTTTGCCAGCGCGCATCGAAGACATTGGAAGAGACACATCGCTAGAGAAAGTAAATGAAGTATACTTGTATTCATATGGTGATCAGTTTAGTGTCACTTATTGAGTGCAGAATATCAGGACCTTTATATGAATGATGAAAATATATAGAAAAAGTAATTTCTTCACGATTCTTCTTTTGGTTTCTAGGATGCTGTTGTAGATTGGGCTCGTGACCACAGAGTTCATCATAAATACAGTGAGACCGACGCAGACCCTCATAATGCCAAGAGGGGCTTTTTCTTCTCCCACGTCGGCTGGCTCTTGTGTAAAAAGCATCCGATGGTGAAAGAGAAGGGCAAAGGAATCGATATGTCTGATCTATACGCCGATCCCATTCTTTATTATCAGAAGAAATTTTACATCATTTTGATGCCCCTTATTTGCTTCATTTTGCCAACGGTGATACCGATGTACTGTTGGGGTGAAACTTTCGCCAATGCTTGGACCGTCAATCTGTTCAGATACATTTTTACCCTCAATGTCACCTGGTTGGTCAATTCTGCCGCCCATCTTTACGGATCAAAACCATACGACAGGTGAGTTTTCTAACTCAATTAAGTTTTTTTTTTCATCAGCATAAAGAAACTAAAAGTCCCCTATTCAATGGTGAATTTTTACCTAATAAATGTCTTCGGTCTTCGTTGATCTGAAAGCCTTATTTGGGGCTGGACTAATCTAAAAAGGTTTTTCTGTTTCCTTCTCTAAAAAACTTGGATGAAATTCTGTCTCAAACTTTAGTTTGGGTAATTACAACGCCAGTAAATTGGATTCTAGCTTTACCAACACACGTGGAAGAAGAAAGGGGACCTTTTGGGCATTTGTAGGGGCCCTAAAGATTGTCCCTATCAATGGAGAACTTCTTCTCCTTTTTCTCATTTATAAGTTATTGTTTCATTTAATAACTATTCAATTAGACTGGATTAATTTACTTAGTAGTTCAATTTCTACCATTATGCCAAATAAATGTCAGCTTTTCTACAATTGTGCTTATTGTCTGCTTCAGATATATAAATCCGGTTGAGAACACAAGTGTTTCGATACTTGCTCTGGGGGAGGGTTGGCACAATTACCACCACACGTTTCCATGGGACTATAAGACTTCTGAACTGGGAAAGTACAGCACCAACTTCACGTGCATCTTTATAGACTTCATGTCTAAAATTGGATGGGCTTATGAATTAAAAACCGTCTCTCCGGAAATGATAAAACGTCGCGTCGAAAGGACCGGGGATGGTACTCACGATCTTTGGGGATGGGGCGACAAGGACCAGACCAAGGAAGAAATAGACCAGGCGACCATTATAAACAGAAAAAATGCTTAAACAAATAGTAAAATACATTCTCACTATACGACTGAAGAAGTAAAGCATTGTTACTAAAAAATACTATAATTTAATTACTATATATAACACATTATGTAGTTATTTTGTTACGTTTTTGTAATTTATTACTTTTTTGTGGAGCTTGAGTGTGCTAATTAGTGTAGATAAGACAAGCAAGATTGCAACAGGGAAGAAATAGGGAGAGGAAGCCTCCCTTTATTCTTTTTCTTTTGTGTTTTTTTTTATATTAGCTTTAGTATTTCGTACAAAAAGTACGTAAGGACTCTACTATAATATTTGTTACTGTACAGACTGACGTTGTTAATGATTGTCCTAATAATATGCTCGTGATATCTGCTAAGTTTAGTTTTGTACAAAATAGATACATAAATAGAAAGAAAAACGTTGTTAGTTATGTAAGGTCACGACTTTATATATAGTGGTACTTTCACGGAAAATAGTTATTTAATAAAAATATTTTCATTGAAAAATCAGCTTTTGTTTTATTCGCATCTCCGAAATGCATACAAGAACTGATACTGAAGAAGTGACACAAAAAGAGTATACACGATTCGATTGAAAAACTCGAAATGGAAAAGGTTTTTCAGTTTTTTACAAACAATTGAATGGCATAACGAAAATGTATAGGTCAGGAAGTTTAAGAAACAGCAGTAACCCGATGGGCTGTTTAATGTGCGGTGCGTGTCGTGAGAGCGTCAGTAATTTAAGGTGTGCTAGGTGAACCGCTGCGCAATAAGACAGTGCGCATCTAATATGACGACAGGAATCATTCGTTACGCAGCGGACTGTTTCGTTTCCTATCCTTTATCTCCAGTTCATCTGTGGTTTCATTATATTTAAGTAATTGTTGGAGAATAAAAACGCCACAGCTTCTATTCCATCTGCCTTTTCCACCCCTACTATCTATTCTTGAAGTGGATCTTCCACCTGACTCTCCCGTTTTGTACCAAAGTGTAGATAGGAGCAAATCTTACAATTAAAATAAATTATCACGTATTTCAAATTATCAATTCTATTTGATGTTATCGTTCTTTAGAGCAATAAAAAAAAAATAAACGGATTTTTTGTATTGGCTACGTTTGATAACATTGTCAAAGGTTGAGAGCTTAAAAATTGCATTAGCCAGACTGGAAAGTCACTTTACTGTACGTTGAATGTCATCTTCGAGTAAGATCATCTCGAAAACTCGTGACAGTAGATGATATCGTATTGAAAAGTTGACCTTCAAGAATGCATGGCAAACTGATAAATGGTTTAGTGCAATTCGCGTGAAACATTTGTAATTTCGAAATGTCTCAACCCACTTATTATAAAAGCAAAACAAAAACGATAAAAAAACGATTAATTAAACCAATCTATTTAAAAATGAAACTGTTTATGAAGGATGTGCGTGTGAGGTCTTTATGTAAAGATGTAACTATATTTTTAGGCACTGTTCACTCGTCCTGTTTAATATTTAATATTTTGAATGCAAATGTGAATGTGTTTGTTTGTTACCATTTTACGCCATAAGGACTTAACCGATCATTATGAAGATTTGTACATACATTGTAAAGGGGGCATAAAAGGATATAGCTACCTTTTATCCAGAAAAAACTGTTCCCTAGGGATAGAAAAAAATAGTTTTATGTGGTCATTGGTGATCTTTGACATGAAGTTAGAAAATCAACGAGAGCGAACCCGGGGGTAAAACCCATCATGAAATGTTTTTTCAGAACGTTCCCGAACGATAAATAATTAATCCCGGCTTGTAATAAATAAATGTAGTTTAACATGTACCAATATGGTACCATTTTGTTGGTACTAATATTTTTTTAATACAAAAAACAAATTGGAATTACACTAGTTTNATTTGTAAATGCACAAAATTGTACTGTGAATTATCACAAGAGAGATTATGCAGGTTTTGCCAACACTATACGATAATAGAGGCCAGTTGCAATCACTATACGATGAACTATTAATATAATTACATAATCGGTTTTCATATACATGCGGACCTATAAAAAACGAAGAAATCCAACTGAAAATTGTAGTATGAAACAATGTGCAGCCTTGACAGATGTAGCAGTTGCAATTACTATACGATGAACTGCAGAACTAATTATATACTATTCATAAGAAGGGTGACTTGTAAATGTGCAAATATTGTAGTGTGGATTGCCGCAAGGGATATTTTGCAGTTTTTGCTAACACTGTACGATAACAGAGATCAGTTGCAGTCACTATACGATAAACTACGAGACGAATTACATACATATTTATTTAGTTTTCATATGGATGCGGATCTGTTAAAAAAAAAGGAAGAAATCCTACTGAAGATTGCAATATGAAATAAAGTGCACGTTTTATTGATATTATACGTCAAGAGAAACAGCAGTTGGAATCGCTACACGTGCAGTTTCTATTAGTATTATATAGAAATGATGCGGTCACTTGTTGCAATCACTATGTGATAAACTAATTTGCATCAATACTCATGTGGGAATATTCAAGGATTTGTACTCTGTACTGAAATGTTTATTGACACCATAGATACCTGAAATCGTCGTACGATAAATTACCTATTGATGATTTCAGTCCAGTATTAAATAAATATTGTGGGCGATTAACTACAAATGGTGTTGACAATTACATCAGGTGAATACATACGGACAATGTTTTTAGTGGAGTAACATTACAATACAAAAGTATTGTAGTGTGATCAATATCTACAAAAACAATGATTAGCAATCTTTATCGTATCTAATTATTGTATGATAAAACGTTTTGCTTGTACTTTATTAATGCTTACTAAAACATGTTGAAAAATCAAATTTCAGTCTAAACATTTTGTTTAAGCTTTGATACTGCATTAAACAATGGTGATTGCTAACGATCTGGATTAACGCGGAAAAATATAAAAATTTTTGGATAATACGATGCTAATTAGTAGGACGCTCGAAATAGCTGTTATACATGAGCAACAAGAGTGCAACTTTCGAACACCATCGCCATGTTCCAAGTTCAGATCAAAAGAGCAATGGGGCAACCATGAGAGATATCTCGCAATTAGTAATAAGTCGGTGTTTTTTTTTTGGAGGTCGCGTCTCCGTCGTCGTCGTCGAGTCTAGCGTTGGAAGGCACAATGTGATCTCGTGCGTCGTCTCCGTCGCCGTGTTGTTTCTACGTGCGGCCAGCGTCGTCGTTATGTTAGTCAACGGCGCGTAGCGTCCAAATGGATGGGGCATCCCTGCGGGACGTGGGGCACGGGGCTAGCGCCGGTATCACGCCACGGGCTTCCGCCAAATCAAAGGCAACGTGCAAACACGGACGACATGGCGTGATACCATTCTTGCCGGTAACGAGCTCGTAACGGATTGGACCAGCGAATGTATGTTGGAGATGGATGATTGCCGATGATGATGGCAAAACTGTTATACCACGTTGGCGAAGAAGAACCGACAGCGCGAGTCCACGACGCCGGCATCCGGTGATATTCTGATCTTTGTACCTTCGTCGAACTTGAACTTGTATTTTGTAAAGAATCGGTCGAAATCACGCGGAATCCTCTGTGTCAACCGCGACTTCTTATCAGCCTATTTAAGTTATTTGCATTGGTAGCTGCGATCAGTTGGTGCAAAAGCGCGAGTCGACGTGAACAATATAGAAGTTCGGTTATAACTTTTATTATTAGTGAACCTAAACTTGAAGTATCAATAGTTTTTTTATTTCATTTTTGTACATCGAGAACTACTCCTCATTGTAGTTGAATTGAATTAACGTGAGTATTTATAAGATTTGATCTTGTTTTACCATTTCTCATTTTCGAAATACGCGTAAAAGTTGAAGCGCAAAACTTAAAAATATTTTCGCTTATTTCTAAATCATGATTTTTCGTCGACAAGGGAATAATTTCCAATTTCTTCTACTTAAAGACAAATTAGTTTTAGGTAGTTATATTTATAATTAATACAAAATTTTATTAATTTTAATTTCATTAATCACGACTGCTTTGCGTTTGGAACTAGGAACTATTAAATTTTACAATAAATGATTTTCGGAAAACGTCACAAATGGTGCGTATTAGCTAAATTGTTTAAATAATTATGTATTGGTCTAGGCGGCAATAGAAACTTATTTTTTGTTTTTCGATGATTTTAATTGTCAAATAGGTACTTGATTGGTATTTATTTTAATTGGTGTACCTAATTATGATCTGACAAAGATAATTGTGTTGGTCATCACAGTTAATCTCACGATCGATCAATTTATCGATAAGTTTTTGTAAGTATGCAATTTAAATATTGTGTAACTGCCTTTTTTCTTCTAGTACCTACGCATATTTACCATCGAACTTTTTTTGCTTGTTTAGGTATTAACAATAGTTATTGTGTATTTAAATTTTTGGTGTTACATGTTTCCGATTCATGTTAAAATTGACGATATTATCAATGGTTTAAATTTTTTATCAAAGATGCGTTACCTGCTTATCAATTATTAATAAGGCGCTTTTATTGATCGTTTTTAATGAATTATTTAAGCAGGTATCTATCACTAATTTAAGAAATTCGTATTCATGAATTATTAAATCCTCTTCCTTACGTACATAATTAGATAATTTTTCAATTAATAATTTTATATCATTTTACGTTAACTATTAGGTCCATCATGACCTTTTTTTGGTAATCACAGTTCCCAAACCTTTCATTGATTGTAAATATTTTATACCTACCTACGTTTATTTGGAATGATCTTAATTATTTGTAATATTGTAACAATTTAAGTATTTTTCTTTACATTAGATGTCCGGTGACCTATTAGCCTCAACCTTTTTTGAAAAAAATAAGAAAGAGTTGACCTGAATTGTGTTGAAACATTGTTGTAGCATGATGTTTCCTACACGTGTATAATTTATTCAAAAATTAAATTAGGTCTGTTATTTTTTAAATAAATTCATATAAAGTTTATTTCATAACCTAACCTAACCTGTTGTAATGTTACTTAGCCTAACCCAACCTAACCAACACACAAAAATGGCTTATTTTTAAAAAATATTTTATTAGTCTACCAAAATCAGCGTAATTATTTTCTCAATAGTGCAACGTTTAAATTACTGGCATTTAAATTGGGCTGGAATTTTTTTTATAGTTCGGAAAATCATAAATTTTGCTTACTTGCTTTTGTTTAGCGGTAATTCAAGTGTCAATGTTCTGATACAAAGAATAAAAGCCTGTTTAATAGGTACTTTCTTTTTATGAAAATGAAAAATGAACAAGTTATATTTGGTCAAAAGTTTTAATAAATTTTTTGGTATATATATGGCAAAAATACATAATTAGTTTTTATGTTTTCTCTTGTGTTTTCGATTTGTTAAAATATTAAAAATAAATAATAATAAAACGTGGTTTTTGCTACTTACATGATTTTTTTTCCAAATAACAGTTTTTCCGTTGTATATAAAAAAAATAAACACTATAAAGCCGCACTTTTGAGATACATTATATAGAAATGATGCG